CTGAGGAAGACGAAGACGTCGAAACGTTAGCCGAAAATAAATATCATTATCAACCTCGTGCAAGCTTATCAAGAAAGAATACATATTGATTAGTCACACCGAGGTTTAGGGAAGGTCGGTTTCGAAATATTCCCTTATCTTTTTAAACACAAATAATCAGATATTTTCTAAATTTGACATTACTTAAATGAGTTCTGTTTGCTGTCCTCCTGCTCTGCGTTTGTCTTCCTATGGGACCTAGCTTATAGCGCCCGTTGGTCAGCGGTTGTTGCTTGGATGTAGCATGCATGCCTCACGTGCTATTCTACATCATGAGCTATGCGGCAGCGTCTCCGATATTTCATGTTCGATGGAATTGTGGATTCCCCTTCTCTCTTTTAGTCATTTGAGATGTTCTTAGGATTACGTTCTTGATAGCGTGTTCGATAAGCTTTGCCGGTTATTAATTTGCTTACGAAAGTTCCAGATTTCCATTGCGCATGTTAATGAACGAAGAACTTTGAAATCAAAAGGATGTATTTGCAAACTATTCGCTTGAGTTTGCTCAGATTTGGGACTGAGTTGCTCATCATATTGACTTTTCCACCCAGAGACAGATAGCGTTCCGTATTGCTGATTCTGGCAAATACGTAAATTTTCTTGAAGTCTTACCGAGGAGCAATTTCTCCATAGCCATTCACACCATCCAAAATTTTGATGTAGAGTTGTGAAGTGGTTTTTAAACAACATACATTTACAATCTTAACCCTTTCATTTACTGCCTTTTTCTTTTTTAATGGCAGGGTATGTTGCAAAATATAATTCGTATGTAATGCTGAGATATTTGCAAAACTCCGGACCGCAGGTGTATGAGGTGAGAAGCGAACCAGCGTTGTTGTCCTTACCGGGGAGCAGCGCACTTCCCCACCACACCATACGGGCACTTCGGTTTGCCTAGCTGAGAGACAGGTAAGGACAACAGCGCGGGTTTGTTTCCCACCGCATACACCTGCGGTCCTGAGTTTTGCAAATATCTCAGCATTATATACGAGTATACATTTACTTCCATAGAGAAACACAATACAATACAACATTGGCTGATGTTTCGGGAGTATCGCCTTCTTTAGAGCTTGGAAGGGTATACTGATATACAATCTACTAGGCCAAACGCTTCAATAACACTTACAAATAGACGAAGAACTCTATGGTAATTGCATGATCAACAGCTTCTCGAAAAACCCACCCCTTTTACGTGAATTCCAATCAGGAAGTCTAGAACAGTCTCTCTTTAGGTGTTTAAAAAGCATAGCGGAGACGATTTTGAAGTAAAGGTCAATATTCTCGCACAGGAGACTAAAACACCAACTTATCGAGACTTCTTGGATAAATGCCAAAAACCCTACAATGAATAGCAGGGATGAATGCTCAGAGGTCATACGCGACCTGACCCCGTATGTTCCCATCAATTTCTGATGCGAGATGGTGCAGTCATCAACCATATGCGACTATAATCAGCTGCTCTAAACTTCCTCATTGGAAGTCACGTAAAAAGCGGCCCTGAAGAAGGCGATACTGCCGAAGCGTCAGCTAGTGTTGTGTTGTATTGTGTTTCTCAATGGAAGTAATTGCATGCTGTTTGAAAACCTCGCGATTGCTGAACAAGAAAACGACGCTAGTAGTTTAATTTTTTTTTTAGCTTTTACCACTGTAGCCTCTTACGTGCTGCCCAGACGCGATCTTATGAGTTCTCGATGGTGCTTTGTCAGTACTCGTCGTCAGCTGTGTGTTCTATACTTGGGGTGAAGGAATAGAAGATTAAGGAGGTCGACACTGAGTAATCCTTTAAGGAAGCGTCATACTTAATGCTCGCAGTAACTTAGTCTACTGATGTGTCAAACAATTTTTTTCTCAACCCAAACAAAAGTGGTATCAATTTGTAGACCCCAAAGGGAAGAAGACGTGATTAGCTCAGAGTAAATGGTCGACGCAAAACCACATGGGCAGTGCTCTAACCATTGTACTACACGCACGCTAGATGTGGGTTGTGCCAGACGATTTCTCCTATTTCAGACTCGGTTCCGCGTACTCCATGTTGATGTTTGATTTCTCGACACCGTCCGCAGTGAAGGTGAATTCAATATCTCAGGCGGTGCAAGGAACAGCTGCGGCTTTTATACTTCTGCCGTTTATCTTTTTGGGTATTAGCAAAAGGTGCTGAAGAGGCAGATTACAAAACTCAATGATTTTTTCAGTCTTGATTACTACGAAATCTTCGAAGCATTGAGCAAAACACTTGTTTCTATTGATGAAACAACGGTTTACCACTAGTTTTAAGACTAAAGCAGCGTACCGTGAACATCGCATGTATTATCAGCTTTGTTGCCTTTCACCTTATTACTTATCCTTGGGATTTTGGAGGTTCATATGTGACGATTCACCAAGGAGGTTTGTTAGTTTTTGTTTTCCACTTTGACTTAAAAATTGATATATCCTCTAAAAGATTGCTAAACAACTTCGAGGATCATCATTTGGCATATTTTACATTAATTTTGCCGTTGTCATGCTCCATTAAGAGGAGATGATGCCTTGCATGTGAATGCTTTCGTTCCAGTGAGAATAAATCATTTCTATTACTACTAAGGATTATCGTTACGAAATTTATCTGGAAGACAGTGCGCAAGTATACGTGTTTCTGTCATTAACCGTGTAGTTAAAAATTGAACCATTTCTCAGAATATCATAATCCCATCATGCGCTCACGTCGTTGGATTTTTCCTTTCTAGGATTATAGTGCTTCAGAATCATCATCGGGTGGATGTGATGCGAATCGATTCAGCTGGTGTTCAGCAATGCCTCGAGTGAATATGTGGCTCTACTATGTTGCACTCTGTCTGCTGTTTGAAATCACCTTTGCAGTGGACAATGTCGTACTGCCAACACTTTTCTCGAAAGTGATCGGACCAAGAAGACAGGTAAGTGGGAAGCAGAAATTATGAACTCTACTAGTCTTTGTCAAATTATTCCCTTCAAGCAATCGTTGTAAACGTTTTTGGAATGTTGTTTTTTTTTGAAGAGATTCTCCCTATTCTCCTATCCTGCCCTATTTTCACTTCTAAAGGCGTTTAGTATTCAGGGTACTATGCAAGGAATTTTTCAAATGTCAGGATCCATCGCACGAACGACAGAATCAGTGATTTTGAGGTCCGCATGTTTTTTGCTAGTTGCTGAAAAACTGAAAAAATTAATTAAAATCTAATCTAGTCCAATTTATAAAATAACAAAGTGCTAATATACATAAACTTTTCAAAGTCGTGGATGTTTTCAAAAATTAGTTGTCAGTAGTTGCGCATGATGACGCCAATGAAAACAAATTATCAGCAAGAATTCTCTGGGATCGGATAGCGTTTGCGCCATGGAATGAAGTTCGTAATTTCGGCTCGTTTGTAGAAATGTCGCCGTGCTTAAATTCCAGTGCCCTCTACGACTACTGGGGACCACGAGTCATCTGGCAACTACAAATCGCACAACTCGGTTTCACGCTCGTCCTGTGGCTTATTTTTCTCCGTCGTCTTGTCCCGTTAGAAAAATTTTCTCGTTCAGCAGCGGTGAAACGCGATAATGAATCTGCGAACTTGAAGCTATGACTTTGTTTTGGTATGTTATCAAACGAAAAATTTTCAGGTTGTTTGATTTTCTCATTTTCAATTTTTATTCAACACATTACTTCTTCAATGTTCCTGTTCTTTTTTAAACTAAATGCGACTTTATATCTCCATTTCTCTCGATTCCATGATTCTATCATTTTGTAATGCGCCCACTACTGCTGTGTAAATTGATCTTATTCAATTTTCAATGACTTCTTCTTGAAATTTATATCATAATGCAATCTTTGTGTGCTATAACGTCTTAATACCATCAGTCGAAAACACCATTCGCTCCAGAAAATTTAAGGTGGAGGAGGGTCTTGGGAATATATGAAGTCTTTCCCTATTAATATGAATACCTCCATAGGTGTTATACTGCTTTGTATGCTACGGTGGTCATTCGTGAACTACGAAATGTTACTACTTGTGCAGTTTAAAATGGGAAAGTTAATTGATTGATGATATATATGTATGTATATATATATATATACATAAATATGTTTTCTTCGACCTCTCAACATCTCTGGTAATCGACATACGCCATAGGCGCCACATGACCACTTGTCGTATAGATCTCGCAGTATTCTAGAAGTTCCCATCTAACCATGCGTCGTAGAATCCTTTTCAAAGCAGTGCATAAGAAATAAACAGTGCTCTTCCTGTACTGATACTTATTGCTAATTCTTCTTAGGTAAGTTCTATTTCTATATGTCACTTGTTGCTCGCCGTAGGTAATCATCAGTCTATAGTTACCCTTCTTATTGTTAACACTGATCTTTAGGCGTATTAACTTCGTTATTGTGTTATATGTGCATATGCATAAAGATTGAATTACTCAAGTTTGAGACTTCAGTTAGCAGCAGCGCACTTGCAATATTCGTCCGGCACAGCGCAAATCACAGATCGCATTACATTGTTTCTATCGTCGTTATACTTCAGAACAATATGAATTTTCAGGGTCTCCTACAATCACGAAAGCATCGGTGTCATAGCTTCCCGTTTAGTAGTTCCTGTGTTAAACTGCACCTATACGCCAAATTAAAGTCAAGATGCACGCTGAAACATGGTGCCGATTCCTTCCAAATTTCTAATTAGTGCAGTGGTAATCACTATCATTATATTTTTCAGTGTTCAAGTTTCGTTTATACGGGCAGTACCAAGCAGTTCATAAAAACTTTATCATGTCTTTTTGCGGGAAAGTCTTTTGATATCTTCCTGCTTCTAACACGACGGGTGAATCTGAAAGAAAAATGGTGCTAAAACATCACTGAACGGGAGTAGAAGCAAGTGGATAATAAATAGCTACAATTACAAAAAGTGAAGTAAATGAGCCCAAGAACGGTTATGAGAGAATGAGCATTCAGCATACGACACTACAGCACCGCTCGAAACGGTTTCAATTCTTGAATGCTTACATATTTCACCGCACTGTCAATACAATGTTACACGGGCTGTGAGCATCAACTATCCTATCCATTTACACATACCTTCTCGCAAACCGCCTCCATTTTATGAAGATCAGACCATTTGGAAAGAAGACGAGGAACGACAGCGCTGAGGAAGCGATCGCACTGAAGCGAGATACTCGAATTAGAAAAATTTTGAAGAAAGTATGAACTAATCATATTTTAAAGTCAATAGGAGCCAACAACAAGACATGCAAAAACAACTGTAGTTCACTTTACTTCACACGCATGACTACGACTAAGTTTTTTGTGGTGCCTGCGACTGCTGCCTGCGAGTAAGGCTATTTTGTAGCCTAGCGCAGCATACCTTAAAAAGTGGAGAAAAGGGTCTTTTTGCGAATTCTGCAGGGCCTTGAGAGTAGTTCATCATACCTCATATCTTGAACAATATCTGCCTTAGATAAACTATACAATAATGCTCAATAATGCTACTGCCTGCCTCTCAAGCAGACACGACACGTTTGAATATTTGTTTCACCTTAGCTAACGTTTGAACAGATTTATTGTTTTGCAGAATCTAGAAAGATCAAGTTAGTGCGCAATCCTAATGGAAACTCGGTCTTGTAAGATGTTGTCAAATGAAGTGGATAAACACGCCAAAATAACCTATTTTCGGCGAAATGGACTAAGAAGCGAAAATTTGTTGAAAGGTCCGCTGTACCCACCCACTCACGTGCGCATTCATATCAATGCACAGAGTCACTGATCTTAATACGACTTCCTAAGGGAATCAAACTCAACTAAAGAAGAAACCGAGTTATTTCATTGTTTGACACAAAACACATTTCATTTATGACTGACTGACACTTTATGACACACAGTTTGCAAGCTTAGCTACGAATTTAATTAGAAGATAGCCAACTAGTGTTCCCGAAAAGGTGGCTGCCGTCGGTCACATGAATGAAAAGAAATGAGAAAGTTGTAATTACGAAACAAATTCGCAGCTGAGAGATAGTGCTTAACCGTTTAAATCACTACGAGTAACTCAAAACGTCAACGCCGTCCGACTTGCTGGAAGAGCGTGATTTCGCTTTTTGCGGCTGAACGTCAACGAAACGACGGTTAGTTCTGACATATTTGTTCAGCTACTCAAGTATTTATTCACTTTTTAACATATTCACGTGTCTTTCTCATCAAATAAACCATTTTTAGTAAGTGTAATTTTCTATATTCTGGTAGGGTTATGCGAGGTGACAGAAATTCTACCACACGATGCCTGAGATACTTCAAGAAATAACAGCTCACAAAAAGCAAGGTATGCTCGCATAAGGCCAGTATTCATATTTCTACTAAATACTCCTTCATCGTCTAGTTACTGGTGATTGGCGGATGAGCATGCGCACCGTGGCTATTAAGCAAGAGCTGACGGTGAGTCGGTCATTACTCATCCATGTGAACTCTGTGCGGTTGTTCTCCACGTGAAATACTAAGTAAAAGACTCATAGAACATGACTGTGAAGAGTGTGTAAGCATTTATAGGAACCAGAACGTCAGCATTTATGGAAAATAATGAATTATGAATGAATAAAGAGTACGGGAGCAGCCCCGTATGTTCTTATCAAGAAAACAACGAATTAGTAATTTAGTCGTAAACCACGGTATTAGCAAATGCTCAAATTATACGTTGTTTATATAGCATCCTTTTGTAGCGAACTTTACTTAGCAGAGCATTCAATTTGGCAAACGTGACGGGTTATTTAAAACCACTGATTTGTTAACAAAAGTAGCAATAAATTTACTTCTCCAGAAAAAATGTTCATAGTTAGGAAACTGGTGCGCTGTAAATGACTGGCGGTTTTTTAAACCAAGGATTAGTACGAAAACTCAGCACCACAATGAGAGGTAAAAGAACGAACCGATGTCCCAAAATCTCCGACATAATCGCAGACGGACCGTTTAAGCATTTCAGTGGTGAAATGCTGGAATCCAACAACCTCTGGTCGCTCCGCGGCAGTCTGAAATTCCGTTTTTAATTTTGTCACACGAAAGAAAGTGACCCAAAATTCCTCCCTGTGCTGAAAGTAACATAGTTTCACATAATTTAAGATTGGATTTCGAATACGATGGGCATATGATTGCAACTAACTCTGTGTCTCCACTCTAGAAGAATTCAGAATCTCTGTTAGATGGTTTTCGGATAAAACAGCACCAATCGCATTTCTACAATGGAAAATTGTGCAAAAAAATGAAGCAACTCTAGTAGCTCACTTTGAAATAGTTTTGTAGGCCGGCACACGAGGCACAACTCAAGCCCTGTGTCTCCGACTTTGAGAGCTGGGCGATGCGAGATACTGAAATCACCAATATTACAGAAAATATGGCAACTGTGGTGAAAAAGCGATGATGAGAATGAGATATCTCTCATTGCCGACGTGCCACTAATGCGGAGGAATGGGTGGGGCGATGCCTATTGGCACATTGCCTACATGGCACATTTTTATCATAAATGTGCACGAGAAACTTCAAACGCTTACATGAAATCGAATCGCACAACTTTGCCTTTGAACACAGTTCTTCCGGTAGAAATTGTTTGACCGTCATGTACAATGCAGTAGATAGATAGCGAGAAAGGAAATCGTTGCAGCCGGCAGTGTAGTTGGACGGCAAGAGGTGATCGCAAACCAGCACCTGCACCTCGGCGGCTATGTTGTTCTATAAATTGCACATCAAAGTGAACGATTGGATATTTGTAAAATAGCCGATACTCTCTTTCCTTTTAACAAATGATGAACGACGCGCGTTGTATGCAGTCGAACATGGCCAAAATTAATTACGTTCTTCAACTACATATAATTATATCTTAAAAAGGATAAAGGATAAAGCTCTCGGCGTTAATCAATCTCTGAAGGATGCGCCATGCATTCGACTTCATTTAGCATCGCTGGAGGTGATTGAGTGCATATCTGGTCTTTACAATGATAACCATCGGTGGGATGTATCGAACTAGTGCTGCTATCCTCCCAGACAAGTCTGGTAGCAATTTGCCGATCCTGAAAGCATGGAAGGCTTTGTGAGCCAAGGGTGTTGGAATCGATCACATGTGTGTATTGCAGGGCTCCTCCGACCACTGTTCCACAAGGGTCCCGCAATTGTGTCTTATACAACAGTAAACAACTTCACAGGTTGGGATAAAAAAAACTTTGGAGCCGTATCGGAGAAGATAGAATTTTCATCGTTCTAAAATGACAAGCTCCTAATTGAACACCTTGAATGATTCGACCCTCGCGTTCCAAATCCAGAAACGAGTGAGTAGTTAAGATTTCAAAGAAATGGAGGGTTAATATCTCCCGATATGTCTTGGTGTTTATGGCCACTGTGTTTGAGTCAATAGTTTCGAAAATCTGAATTCACCACCATGTTTTTGTGCGTTTGAACTTGAAGTTGGTCCGAAACTGAAGCAACGTCTTAGGAAAAATCTTTATACACATTCAACGATAGCGTAAAGCCTATTCTATGAGACTACTAAATGCTTCACTCTTCAACTGCTCTAGTTACTAAAAATTTGTTGTCAACTATCAAAATCTGCTAAGTATC